GTCTCTGGTTGGTTCTTTCTCGCTGGGTGCAACATTTAGTATACATTTAACTTTAGATTTCTTGTTTATATTCACCATTCAAAAGAATAAAAACAGAGGCACTAACTTTTCTATCTTTTTCCTTTGATTTTTATAAATGATGAGCATTTTGAAATATTGGATTTGTAGAATAAAGCAGCCCCTTACATGTGCTGTTCTGTATTTTAAACAGATATATCAGAGAAGGACAGAGACTGTGGGAAATTGCAAACCTATGTTTATCTCTCAGTCAAGTCAGATTTTGCATGCATTCTCTTAAGGTGCAAATAAAAGTTTGTATCACAATTACTATGTTTCAGGCTGGGCAAATTTACTCATCACATCTTGGAGAATGACAGGATCAGGAAAGAGAACAGGGTCTCACAAATGACAGGATATCAGTTCAAGTCAATGAAAAAAACATTAAGGAAGAGGTCAGAGGACACTTACTGGTAGGTGGTCGGGCTGACATTGATGCGCCTAGGGTGGCTTCCTGATTCGAACTTGCTTGCCAGAGTGACATTATTTCCAAAGAGGCAGTATCGAGGCATCCTCACCCCGACAACACCAGCCAGCACAGAGCCCGAGTGAATGCCTATCCTCATCTAAAAGAAGGAAAAAGAAAAGAATGAAAAAGGAAAAAAACCATATTTGTTTCCATTTAGTATGCAATTATTTTAATGGGAAATACTGCTAATTATTAAATAATTAAATTAAGAGCTCCTAAAAAATTGAAACTGAGTCTTGGTCATTTTGTGAGCCTATATAGTGCTCAATCAACATAAATGTGAGATGAATGAACAGGTTAATTATACAAATACAATTCACTGCATAAATCTGTTTCTGTTACAGGTTCAATCAGCTTTTATTTGTATATAATATGCTTTAATAGACAAGAATATATATTCCTCCATTATTCTCACTCCAGTTATTCTTATAGAAAGCCCTATTTTTCTCTTCATAGCATTAAACATAACAGTAAATTAATATTTGTATTCCTGTATATTTTATTTAAGTATTAGGTTTTCCCATGAGAGATGGTTGTATGCCTATTTTCTGACTGCTGAATATTCAGCAGCTAGAATTTAACACCTAAAGCAAAGCAGGCACTCAATATTAAGTGATGAAAATAGCATAAATTGCCTGAATTCCTCAACATATTATTAAAACAGAGTTACAGATAATTCAATCTCAGAGTCAGCCAAGTCATTCACTGAAATGACGAAAAGTAAATTAACCACTGTGTGTTTACTATCTTAGAATCCGATAAAAATTAGTTTGGCCCATGGCATGAAGTTGCCCTCAACATGCAGTTGATATACACTCAAATGGGATCAGTAATGAAGTTTTGCTGTCTACACCGGAAGTACTGAAGCTAGTGAGGAAAGAGTAGGAGACAATATCCCTAGTTCTAAGGCAATACAGGAAGACCCTCACAGAGCGGCAGATCTGACCCCTAGATATATAACAGGAAGGCCAACTGTCACCCCTTCACTGCCGTGTCCTCCTTGCCACTATAGTTGTGAGGCCAGAGCCACTCTAGATCAGTGGTGGTGGACCTATGTCACTTGTGTTGTTGTGTTTTTCTTTTAAAATAAAAGATGTTAATGCATAAGTTGTGTTTTCTAAACTAAAACCTCAGTATTCAGATTTAATTGCAGTGTTGGCAGTTTGGGATAAAGAAGTGGGTTTGAGGTTGCCATTTGGGCACTAGTCTTCAAAAGGTTTGCCATCCCTGTTCTAGATCAATCCTTGTTACAGGACTGGAGACTTCTGCATATGTCAGATAGGTAAGTAAGGTGGGTTGAAATGAACATGATTTAGCCAAAGCTCCCAGGTGCCTCATTTACTTTTTAAACATTATAAAATTTATTTAGAAAGTAGATATGGTAGGAAGAGCTAAAATACTCTAGAAAAAGAAAAAAATTAAATACCTGTCCTGCCAGATATCATGTTTTAGTATAAACATATTTAGTTAATGTATGAATATCACTATATAGAGAAATAGACTAATGAAATGGTCCACAAAGTCTTCCATGCAAGGAGCAGTGGAGGTGCTAGATATGTGAAATCTATAAGTTAGCACTTCACACCAGCAAGAAAAAGATGCCCTTTCAGTTAGAATGTTCTTGATCGACTCTGCCTTCATGTAGAAACAAATTTCAAGTAAACTGAAGATCTTAATGTGTAGGCATAAATTCATAGCTTTAAAAAGAATTGCACTAACTAAAGAATAGTCAATCTGCAGTATTACTAAAATGTAAAAACCCAAACACTTAATAAAAACATAGCCCCACTGGATATGGTGATGCATTTCTGTAATCTCAGCACTCTGGAAGACTGAAGCAGGAGGATGGCAAATTGAAGCCCAGCCTGAGCAACTTAGCAATTTAGTGAGACGCGGTCTTTAAACGAGGGGTGGGGGCGGGGGGATGTAGCTCAGTGCAAAGGTCCTGGGTTCAATCGACAGTACCAAAATGTGAAAAATAAAAGTCTTAAACAGTTAGATTCCTGGAATGTGGCAATGGTATACACTTCAATAGTTTAGAGCACAGTTAGCAGAAATCTAGCTATTTTTGCAGTATTTTCTCCTGAAAGGATGATGAAATATTATTACTGAGGAAAAACTTAGATATACACTTTAGCTTCACTTTCTCCTAGTTGATTTAAAAGTTAATAATTTTAGGCCTGGGGTATAGTTCAGTGGTACAGCACTTTTATAACATAACACGAGACTCTGGGTTCTATCTACAGCCACATGAAAAAAAAATCACTAATTTTGGAGGACATACAGATGAATAATACACTATCTGTTTCTTACTAGCCTTTGTGTAGATAGCACCTCTGTCATTTGGGTTAAATAATAAGGGTTGCCTAAGTTAAGTTTCAGGTACTTGACCTTGCTTTGCTGAAAATATTGAGTTTTCACTTGAGCTTGCAGATGTCTGATGGGTGAACGGAATGGGATGAAAAGGCTTGGCATATTTGCCTTTACAGTGTGTCTTTCTCCTTTGTTGCCTTAACTTTTGGGTGAAGACAGTCATCAACTGCCAGGATCAAAAATATAAGAACATGAAAGGGAGTGAAAGAGAGGACCCTGGAGTACCTAGAAGATCTCTGTCTATTATTATAATAGACGAGCATTCTTCCCTTTTATTAGCCTGGATCTCCCTCATTATTCCTTTCCTATATTTGTGACTTCTCAATTCCCTAAGGTTGAGAGGCTCTTTTGGCAGCAAAGCTCCCACTTCTCCATTCCTTGGCTGCTGAATAAAGCTCTTCTCCCTCCCTCAAAAAAAAAAAAACAAACCTTTAATTAATTTGTCTCTCATATCAGTTCCTAGATCAATGTTATGGATTGTCAAGTAGCTCTGTACCCCTCTAGTCCTTTTTATTATGCTCCTCCCCCATGTCTTGGCATACACCCATGTTCCAGATCATGGAATGTGGGGAGATAGATGGCAAAAGTCCAGCATAAGGCTCATGAAGTAGTCATTTGTTATGATTTTCATTTCTTTGTGCAGGTACAGACTGCATATGGTATCATTTTCCTTCTGCTGGAATGACTTAACATTTCTACACTGTAAGTTCACTGACAAAAAATTCTTTCAGCTTTTGCATGTTTAAAAAGAAATCTTTATTCTGCCTTTGCATTTGAAAGATATTTTGACTGAATATAG